TTTTACGGGAGCTATTTTTGAGTCTCATGAGAGCGATTTCGCTTTCAATTTCGTTTGAAGAGCGAATCACTCTCGTGAGGCTCAAAATAGCTCCCGTAAAATTTTTGACGAGAGCTATTTTCCCACAGACTTGAAAAAGAGCTCCCAGGCAAAAAAAGTCATTTTTCCCCTCGTTCACACGCAATCTGTCGGTAACGTGAGACGGTGTTTGCTCTTGTCACCAGGTGTGTACGCGAGCCCATGGGCGGCCCACAGCGCGAGTCACGGCTCGCCCAAGTCAAAGCTGTGGAGCGTCGGCAACGAGCCGCTGCACACGCCGGCGCCCTACGCTGCCGACCGATCGTACAACAGGAGGTCGCCCTACCAGCCTGGCTCGTGATAGCTGCCGTGACGTTGTGAGGAGAGCTGGTGTACTGACAGCTGGCATGATATCAGGAGGTTGCCCTACCAGCCATCATTGTGACAGCTGGCATGATATCAGGAGGTTGCCCTACCAGCCATCATCGTGACAGCTGGCATGATATCAGGAGGTTGCCCTACCAGCTGTCATTGTGATAGTTGGCAAGATATCAGGAGGTTTCCCTACCAGCCATCATCGTGACAGCTGGCATGATATCAGGAGGTTTCCCTACCAGCCATCATCGTGACAGCTGGCATGATATCAGGAGGTTGCTCTACCAGCCATCATCGTGACAGCTGGCATGATATCAGGAGGTTGCCCTACCAGCCATCATAGTGACAGCTGGCGTGACGTTGTGAGGTGAGCTGACATACTGGTAGCTGGTGTGACATCTGTAGGTTGCCCTGTGAGCCAGCATCGTGCCAGCTCTCTTGTAATCCGGTGCAGAGCTTCTGCCCGCCATCTATCACGTCCCCCTGCTAGCTAGCATCGGGGGAGATGGTGCGTCAACTGGAGGTCGCCCTGTGAGAGGAGCCAGGCCTGTGATACGTGGTGTGTTTAGCATACAACAAGTGAGTGTGACGAGTCGTTGTTTGCGTGTGTACATAGTTCGTCTGTCGGTCTCGTGCCAATCGCTGTGAGCCCCCACGCTGTCGGTTCGTAACTAGAGGGGCATTGCGAGGGCAGCCGTGCTAAGAAGCGTCTGACGTTGAATAAATGCAAAGGCAATTTGTTTTTTTGCCGTGTTTCTCTTGCACTCTGTTCGCACCCGTTCTCACGGGATCACGTTAGTTCCGCCCCACCTCCGCTGCGTGGTCGCGGTGGCTGCAGAGTAAATTAGGGAATTGCTTTGTTTGATAATTGGTCACACATGCGATGAAATCTGGTACTTCCTGGAAGCTGTTCCTACTTTAGGACCCCCTGTACGCACATGATGATGATGGAGTTAGAATTAGACATGTAGTGAGGGATAGGGTTAGGGAATAGGTGTTAGGATAATGGTGATGATGATGTATTTGCGGGTGTATCCTACAGTCTGATTGAGCCAACTTCCTGGATGTTTCCAACTGAGAATGATCACTGTGATGTGTTTCGCACGCAGCGTCCTGTCTTGCTGTCTCAATGTACTGGTTGTATGTACGCACACGTAAATCTTAATTTAACCTAAATCGTAGTACGTTAAACTGCACTGCCAATCATACAAGTTAATACGATACGATACAATATGATACAGGTTATCATACGATGGGAAAATACAGTCATGTTATTGTTCTAAGTATGGACATCCAAGTGTGTGTAAATGTGTTTTGTAGATATCATGGTTTTTCCTAATTCTTACTTTGGTTCAATAATTTATCACTGCTGCACAGTGTTGTCATGATGGATGCAAATATGTGTAAGAAAATGACAGGTGCCACATAGCATGTAAATACAGAATATGAGATTGAACAAGAGTGGTTATACCCAACGTTCATTAGTCGTGTGTCATGTGCGTGCGTGCGTGCGTGCATGTATGTGAATGTGAAAGCACTAGCAAATATTAAGAGGGGCTGTTTCAGTTGTTGCTCCTGCCACATGGAGATCGTAAACTAGTCTGTTTTCAATTACGTGGATTTCGACCATCAGTTTACAGGGGGGCCCTGTTAGATTGGGTAAACACGAAAACAATATTTTCTCAACATTGTCAAACACCAAATGATCGGTTGACTGATTCAACATGTTCTGTTAATTTAATGTAAGCTGATGTCTAAAAAACAAGCCTAGTAATTCTAGGCATCAGATAATATTACATGTGAGCTGTGAAATCCTTGTTTGTGATATAATTTTTGTATTCTATATATATACAAATTATTGCCAAGGGAATAAAAATGCCTTTTATATATATAATGGAGTTATGTATATTTTGTTCTTCTGTAAATATTTTGCAGTGCTAATTACCAGCCGTTTAGAATACTCATTGCTGTAATTTTACTTTCAACTTTCAAAAAATCAAGTATGTATCACATTTGTCTGTGTGGATCCAAATGCAGAATGCATGGTATTCCCACCGAGTTTATTTTCCTTCAAATACTGCCAAGAGCCTATGCGTCATACGCTCTTCGTAATATCGATTGTCAGCGTCAATGCCATTTACGTACAGAAGACAGTATTTCATCTTTCGAATTTATTCATTGTTAATGTCACGCGGTAAAGATTTGAAACGGAGACACTCGGCTGTTATACGAATAACTGCACTCTCGTGGCGAGGGACATCGCTACGATGGATTACAATCGCGATAATCACACTTGCACAAGACGTATATTAACATGATACTACTCAATCATGAATGCGGGTACTTACTACATCAATCTTAGTACCCACCTACTCTTATGAAGACGTCGGTGACGGTTTCCTGGGGTGCAATGATTGCAACTTCAAAAAAACCGCAACAGTAAATTGTTTATACATTACATATACTTGTGACCAGATTTGGCACACAAATTTATATATATGGTCTGCAATACGTGAATAATTTTGTATCCCTAACAATAAGCCATCTAACGTCAACAGATAATTATTATGCTAAGTCTAACTGTATTTGTAGACATATTTCAAAGTAATATAAAATATGATCTCTGTAAACAAAATGTACTTCATGTGAGTTATATAACTTTATACAATTGGACTTTTCACGTTTGACAACAATAAATATATATTTTATTACAAGAATTCAAACAGCAATATATTGCTATCACATTTAAACATCATACATATAAAAATATCAATTTAATTCATCCACAGAATATCATTTATAACTTAATATAATTAAATTTTCTATATGTAAATAACGAAGTAATTTCACACAAGGCTTGTGCCAATATAAAGTCTAATAATATTAATAATGAGGGAAGCAAGTTACTGGTTATCCCTCAGTTATAGTAATTGTGTATTCACTGAATGGTTGCATGTGATTACTTGGCTATACCCTGAACACATAGCAAGTGAGAGAGACAGACGGGAGGGTGTAGAGTATATATAATTATATATACCTATGAGAGGGGGAGAGAGGGAGAGTGAGAATGAGAGTGAGAGTGAGAGAGAGGGGGAGAGAAAGCGAGAATGAACACCGTTCTATGCGTTTTCATCTTTTGAACTGCTGATCGATTCGAATAACCATGCAGATTAACACACACCGCTTTCCAGAAGTCCGGTACATAAGAAAGCCTGCACGTGTAGGGGTATATAGGTATCCACACGAATCCATACGTATATATACGTATGGATATCTATACGGATATATACGCACAAAGGGTCGTTGTCGTATCAGGTACTACATATATGTACCCGAGGTAGTTTTAGGTTGTTTAGTATTATGTTTATATTTTTTATATGAGGTATGATTAGGGTTAGGGTTAGGGTACACTTCTGTAGTACAAGTCTGGTACACTTTGTGTATACATATATGTACCTCGCCTACCTCGGGTACATATATGTAGTACCTGATATGACAACGACCCCTTCAGCGATATATATACGTACGTAATATATACGTATCCATACGTATATATACGAATCCATTAATCATCCTCACTGCACTCACAGATGCTCAGCTACTGAGTAGTTTTGGCGTTACACTGTACCTATGCTAGCAATCTCTGCTCTTGAGATGTGGGGAGTTGCCGTCTACTATGACACGTACTAGGTGCTTATCAAAAGCCAGAATGTGTTCAACACCGCTTCGAGGCTTCTCACCATGGTAGTAGGGAGATGTCATCCAGCTCACCGGCTGCCAGTATGAGCCTGCATGTGTTTCACACAACGTATAGGTTTGTCACCGCGGTAGTGCACAGATGTCAAAAATCGTCACCTCGGTCAGCCTCAGTCTTGCGCAGGTATCGAGGAGTGCACACGTTGCGAGCTATTCACCGATATCTCGCAGGCCAAATCGTTATGCTCAATTACAGCTGTAGTGCGATGAAGGCTTATCGATGCTTCGGCGTGCATCCTTGTAAATACCTTCACGAAATCTCCTTCTGACGTATTGACCTCATGCAATCCCTTTTCAAAACAGAGACACATACGTTTAGCTAACTGCATGTAGCACGCACGCATTATGCCAGCGCGAAGATCCAGGCTTGCCACTCCACTCCTTGTCAATGCCATGATGATCGCGTCGTGCACTCTGATACGATCAATACGCATATATTTTGGCCCAGTCACATGCACCTCTGAGAGTCTACGCTTGCGTGCGCACAGCAACTTTGCCAATAGACTAGAACACAACAAAAACAGAAACGCGAGACGGGCACCTAACTTGAAAACCCCAAAGGGATTCTCATGGGCGGACTTGGCCAGTTGATAATATCTCATCAAAAGCCACGATTTCTCATCCAAGGGTGCAGCGAAAATGCCTGCTGTCTCTCGTGTGCACACGTATATCCCGCAGGCCAATCCATCCTCAACTTTGCATTGTGAAATTCTGAGTCACTGAAGAGTAATTTATCATTAACCTTACGACAGGCACTCAGTAATTCAGCTATCCTATTGCGAGTGATCAAAGATTACTACATGCAAACCAGCTTACAGCATACACTCTGTCTTTGTCTCTGCCTGAAATTCTGAGCCACACAAGCACACTCAAACAACATCCAATGTCGCCAACGGTCGTCAGTTATCCTGCCTGACATTCAGAATCACTGCCAAAAGGTTTTGGTTAGAATCAGCTATCCTGTCCCACGTTCACGAAAAACTAAAGAAAGGTTCTGGTTAGAATCACTTATCTTGTCTCATGTTCACATACTCTACAGAAACGTACCGGTCATTCATGAACATACTACTGCAATGTTCTGGTCAGAACCAGCTATCCTGTCCAACGTTAACAAACACACTACCGGAATGGTCCCATCGGAATCAGCTATTCTGTCCAACATTCATGCACACTCTGCGGAAGGTTCCGGCAACGGAACCAGATATCCTGTCCAATGTTAATGAACACACTACCGGAATGTTCCCACCAGAATCAGCTATCCTGTCCAACGTTCATGCACACTCTGCGGAAGGTTCTGGTCAGAACCAGCTATCCTGTCCAATGTTAACAAACACACTACCGGAATGTTCGCACCGGAATCAGCTATCCTGTCCAACGTTCATGCACACTTTGCGGAAGGTTCCGGTCAGGATGTCAACGTCGCTGCTGCTCTGCCTCACCAGCGCCCTCTCCTGGCATCCCCCTACAAGGCCATACTTGGCATCTTCCTGGTATTCCCGTTCGGAGGCAAGGATGACCTCGAGAAAGTCGTCGTTGCAGAACGGCGGCTGGTGACCGCCGAACTCTGCGGGCAGGATGTCGGGTGATATGAACTCGTGAAGTGCACTCAGGTTGTTGCCGTGGAAGTGTAGCTGTGGAATGCAGACGGACGTTAGCGTGCGAGTGGCCGGTTTGCCGAGGTTTTCAGCATAGCTTAATAAATTCGCGATCGTGGTTACGTGAATTATCATCGAGTTAATATAATTTTGGAATTAGGCCTTTATATTCATAATGAATAGTTTACGTAAGCAATTCAATATTTAAAAGGATACTAGACTAGGATTTTACTGCATACAACTGTACTTACTGTATAACAAATCGTCTATACCCACACGTACTTGCTACCAGATACCTAATTTAATTGTTATAATTAATTATACATCAACGCTACGAAATTTGAACGGCACCATTGACACCCGCGATCGTGCTGCCACCCTGAAAAAGTTGCGCATTTCCCAATATATTTTGCACGTTACAGACCGAGGGCTAATCACAAAGGTGCAATTATATTTATACCTAAATGCTATTTAACCGAACAATGTTCATTTTAGGACAAATTTATCCATAATATAACTGAAACTATATATGTCGTTTTATATAAGATATTACAATCCCTTTGCTTTTAAATTAATAAATAAGAAACACCCTCGGTCTGTAGCCCTTGGCTGAAAATTCGTTTTGCGCAACTTTTCAGATCGTGCGCTTTGAGTGGCGCCACCGTCGTTGTAATCAAACTGTAGTCGTTAGTTTTAAAACAATAAAAAAAAAATTTCTAATAGTGATTGAACCATGAAACTTTTTATGTAGCATAATTTTAACCTAAATTAACAGAAAATAACACTAGAACCTAGAGTAAAGGATCCCTTTAAATGAAATTCCTTTCCTTCTACAATAAGAAAGTCATCCTGACACTGTTAACACTGTAATATCCTCATCGTATATATCACGTAAGAGTGCAAGTTTGTAATTCATCGCGGGTTAAATTTAGTGTGTAAGAAATGTTATATTTTATTACTGGTGCATGCCTTTTATAGCTCAGATAACTGGACGAACACATCCCGAAACTGCAATACAGCTACAGTAGCGAACAACGGTTTGTGAAATTGATACTTTTACAAGTTTGTTGAGCTATACATTTTCTGTAAACATCATAGCGTGTTAGAATTCTATGAAATTCAGTGACATGACATTGTAATAACCAACAGAACACTAGGATTCATTGTAATCTACAGAAATCAAATGAATATAGGTATAACAATTGCAAATGTTTGATCCATCCTGCTAAATGCTTACCCTATCTAGTATCTTTTGCTTCAGAAAAGGCTTGATGACTGCAAAAAGCACCCCAAATATCATCGGCTCTCTCAGGTAGTGTATGCCCTTAAACCTTGCCGGGAAGCAGTCCTGTGGGCAGAGAATAAATCCTTTATTGCCACAAAGTTCGGCCATATAAGCTGGACAGTGAATTGACACTTTCTTCATAGAAGGCAGCATAATGATCTTCTGTAGGTGTTCCATCATAGGTGAGAGATTGTAAGGATTAGTTTGACCAATACTAATCAACAAGTTTATACTTGCAAGAACCTGGAAAACCTCAACAAGTCTACCCAGTCTGGCAGGGTTTTGCATAATTCTATCTAAATAACTCAATAACTGGGGAGCACCTGCTGCAAACTTGCTCAAGTGGAGGGAGGCTCAGGGAGCGATTTGTGCAATGTCATGCACGATTTCCCACCACAAGAAGAAAAGCAATATTGATCTACTGAGGTAAAAAGAACCAATTCGGCATGCAATATTGATTGCACATGATGTGGCCTGGTTAGGAACTGTCATGTTTTTCGTGTAGAAAAGGAGAATTAGTGACTGTGAATGCGTAAAATGTAACAAGAATAAAAACCCAATATTGCATCCTGTTATTGAATATAGCCTACACGGGGTGTGGCATAAACAATAGATCCAAACTTTCTCAGACATGAATGCCTAATATATTACGCATTAGCTATTAACTGGAGATCCTTTTACCTGGATTGAATGCATGTACAAGTAAATTCACGCATGAATGGTTTAATTAATTAGTGACTGTGTATGCTGCTACTTCTGTAAGAGCTGCGAACATTTTCCAGCATGAATGGCTAACAATAACACGCACTGATCATCGACTCTCGACGCCGATTACCTGGATAAGAGCGGTGAACTTCTTCAGGTAGGAGGGTCCGATCTGGCGCACGTGGTTCAGGTTGATGGACTGGAAGTCGATGATGGCGACGATGCCGTTGATCTGCGTCTCCTCCTCCTGCACTAGTTTCTCGAGCATCAGCACGCTGCAGCGGAACACGTCGTTGATGTGATGCTTCTCCACGTCCCACTGACCTGTGCAGGTGAGCGAGAGCGTGCGGCACGCATCATTAGCAGCCTAGACAGCGAGAAGGAGGGCACAGACGGGGCGGTTAGTGGGGCAGGGGTGATGTCGCGAGGAGCGCGGCGGTTCGTGCGGAGGGGCGGTCCGCCGAGGAGGGCCCGGTTCGTTGGGGAGGTGGGTCTGCCCCCGAAAGAGGGGGGTTCGGTGCGGGAGGGGCGCCGTTCGTAAAGGAGGGGTGCGTTCGTGGAGAAGAGCGGGACGTGCGTGGGCGGAGGGGCAGTTCGTGTGGCGAGGAAGGGGGCCTTTATCTTCGACTTGTTTGTGGCCATGATCGCATGGGGTTGTTCATTTAGCCTTTCTCTCTCTTGCTCTAGCCCTCTCTCTATCTCTCTCAACTCTCTCTCTTCTCTCTTTTCTTACTCTTTCACTGCACTCTCACACTTCCACACCTCTCGTTTCTGTGTCATTTTCTTTTCTGCTCGATGTATAACAGCTCGATTTATTCTGCGATCAGCATAAACCAGAGCAGGCCCCACCAGTAATGCAGCTATTGTTTCATTGAAAAAAAGCCAGGATCATTCATCTTCCCTCATTCCATGATCACTCTGAGGTTATTTTCATCATCTTGCTTAGTGGTGTAGGTTTTAATCACTTGCAGTTCATGCGATTCTCTTTCATTGCTCTACACCTACCTTTCTCATCCTTAAATACCTTTTTTTCTCCGTTGTTGTCTCCACTCTCTCACCGTTCTCATTGCTCTCTCTCTCTCTTCTACTCCCCCCCTCCCTCTCTCTCTATCTATCTATCTATCTATCTTTCCTCTCTCTCTTTCTCTCTCTCTCTCTTTCACTCTGTTTCACTTTCTCTCTCTCTCAATACATCACAATTGGATGGATTTAGAAAATGCTATTTCTGCAGTTATTTTGCTTTCACACGATAATAGCAAGATGATAGTATTGATTATACGGCTAGATAGTCTGGATGCTAATACCTCGTATTAGCGCGTACTGACAGCCACGCGATCCTCACTTTACCTGCTTCACATGACACAACCTTTCTCACAGCACAACGCATGTACATTCTAATGTACGGTGAAACCTACAGCAAATAGGGCAGCCCCTCTTATTAATTACATCGCATAACACTAGTTGAAGACAATAAGCACCAACCTGGCCTGAAGACAAAGATGCGACATCCTTGCTCAGTCCTGTGAGGAAGAATTCCCTGTATATCTCTCTCCAGTAACCCGCGCACGGCGGAAGGTAGGAGGTTGGCATAGATATCGGGGTTCTGCGCTCGTAAACTGTAGTAGTTCAACTGTAGACGATTAAAATAACACGATAAAAATAAACAACAAACGTGCAAAAATAGACGCGTGAATCAGCAAAATAATTCCTTACAAAATAATCGCGTATATTCTCGCATGCAATGTCGTCTAATCAACGTCACACGTAAGTACGAGATGTGGTTCACATCTAATTACTTTCCTGCCGAACAACAAATCGCGAAAGATCCGCGCACTAATCTTGCAGCTTCACAGCCATTATGTCGCCATACCGCACACTAATTACCACCTGCACAAGGTGCGCCCATGAACAGCGAAAACATCGAAAATATTGCGACGCGCGGCTATATTGACCCTGCAGACGCAGATTCCCCAAATTCCGTAAGCCTATAGACTGCCACCGAGCCCACACGCGTAGACTATCACCAATCTCGCATTCGTAGGCTGCTACCGTTCATGCACTCCTAGACTGCCGACGATCGTGAGTGTCTAGACAAGTCGCCGAACCCTCGCGCCACACTCACCAGCAGCTGGAACGCTCTGTCGTAGTCGTACTTTCTCGCACGCAGGAAGCGCAGCAGGAAGGAGTCGTCGATGCGAAAGTTGAGGTCAGGTCGTGCTAGCACCATGTCTCGCAGGGCCTGGATGTCGCGTGTCCGCCACTCCGGCTTTTCCTGCGGCACACGATTGTAAAGCGCTTGGGTCACTATACATAGATTGTGAAATGCCATTCACTACTGGTTATTACCTACAGAATACAGTTCGCTACAAATGACAGCATAAGCACGAACGTGAGCCAGCTGGCTGAATGAACCAGGTGGCGTAACATCCAAGGGGAGTATCATGGCTGCCCACCAAGATTATGGGGAAATTACAAAAACCTAATAATGCAACAAAAACAACAACAAAAGAACATAATTATTATGCTAATAAAATGTGATTTATCGAAAACCATTAAAATCAGTACTTGATCATGATTACTCATGGAGTTAGGTGCCCCCAAGGAATTTGCTCGAGCTACCATCCTGGTGGCCATCGTTAGAAAGATCATACGCCTATAGTTATGACTATCATAACTCCAAAATGCCATAACTTTATACTATCTATCTGACAATGGCCCCCTGAGTCATAAAGCACCTAGTACATTAGTGATTTCGAACATTTTCTCACAGACTGATCTGTTGACTAGAACTACCATGATATACTAGTACCAAAAAATGATTAGAAGATCATGATAATTACAGACTGTGATATCGTTTTGCTAGCACACGACTCTATAACAAGAGTGCGGTACACCTGTCTTAATATTTTAGCTTTCAAATAAACCCTATAGGATATTAACATGCCACATACATGTGCTGGCATATTGTACGTGTAACTACATCTATGTAGAGGTATGTTTGATACTCTGAATTTGATTGTACTGTGCAATTACAGTATGTTAGTTTATTACACATATTACATACTATCTAGAAGTCATTTGAAGGAGCGAGCTATAACTGCCTTGTTGTCATTATCAATATAATAGCCTTTCACATTCATTCTGCTTCTAAATGAGCTCCGTCCACACTGTACTGACAGGCAAGATGATGACTCATAGCATGCGCAAGCAGGACGCATAGATATATATATAGATGTAACCATAGATATATATATATACAACTATCTCTATATATCTATGTTGTATATATCTATGTTGTATATATCTATGTTGTATATATCTATGTTGTATATATCTATGGTGTAACGTATCTTACCATGAATTCCCATGCTCATCTATGCACGTGATTTTACCACGAATCCCGCGCCCTCACCTGCTTCAAAATGTCTAACATAATACATCCACCCTCACCTCTGCAACACATCAACCATGGATCCCACATGCTCACCTGCACCGACACATCTCACATAAAACCTCCACCCTCACCTGTGCAATCCATCTACCGTAAATCCACCGACCTCACCTATGTGATAAATCTTCCATGGACCCCCACACCCTCACTTTTGCAACACATTTACGATGAATCCCTCATCCCACATCATGAAACCTCCACCCTCACCTGTGCAATCCATCTACCGTAAATCCACCGACCTCACCTATGTGATAAATCTTCCATGGACCCCCACACCCTCACCTTTGCAACACATTTACGATGAATCCCGTCTTCTCACCTGTACAACACATCTACCATGAATTCCCACATCCTCACCTGCCCAATGATATCTACCCATATGCTTCATTTTTTACATCCAGATCCAGATCCAGAAGACATCTAGCCTGGACTGCTGTGCACACCCGTCGATTTACCCTGGAAAACTGGATATCTGCTCTATTACCCTGCCCTGTCATGCCGATAGTAGCCCGATACCCAACGACTTACAGTACCCTGCACCGCCCATCAATCTACCCTGCACCACCCATCAATCTACCCTGCACCACCCATCAATCTACCCTGCACCGCCCATCAATCTACCCTGCACCGCCCATCAATCTACCCTGCACCGCCCATCAATCTACCCTGCACCGCCCATCAATCTACCCTGCACCATCAATCAATCTACCCTGCACCGCCCATCAATCTATCCTGCATCACCCATCAATCCACCCTGCACTGCTCCTCGATCTACCCTGCACGGCAGCGCTCACCTGCAGCTCCTCCTCGGCCTTGCGGATCAACTCTTCGCTCAGGGTGCACACGTACGGCTCGTACATCGCGCTCGGCGATGAGCCCTCCGTCTCCTGAATGCTCCCAAAGCTACCCTCGGGAACGCTCCCGAAGCTGCCCTCGGCCTGCGACTGCAGCGAGCTGGAGTGCAGTGAGCCTGAATGCATCGAGCGCACGTCGCCGTTCTGACTCGACTCGGACGTCGTCGACGTCGAGTAGCCGTTGCGGTCGAGCTTCGCGCGCACCTTGCGCCGCACGCTCGTCGCCGTGACGATGCCGCTGCAGCCGGCGACGTCGAAGAGGTCGTGGGCGACGAGAGTGGGCGAGTCGTCGGCGCTGTGGTGCTCCTGGCGCGCGAGACGCGGGCTACGTCTCCGCACCGCCTCGCCCACGCTGAAAAACATCGCAGGGGGAACTACTCGTGAGTGTCGGAAATTACGCGAAGAAAAAGGCGGGATATTTCGATCGTGCGTGCACAGTGATCCAGTTTTTTAAAATCCAAGTGACGGATTCTAGTTCTCACAGGCTACAGAACAAACTTTTCCTGATGCTAAACTGACTCACTTTCAGGTGTGTTAAACACGGCTGGCGGAACGACATATTTCTCAGCGTAATAGGGCACGAGAGGAATGAACCATCGCATGAACACTTTGTATACGTGACAATGAACATTACATTTTACATTATATCTGATATAATCGACAATAGCCACTGAATATTATATTTCATTCAGCGAATTTAAGTGATAATGGCTGCTGCATACTTTACTTCTAGCGAAAATAGGCAACAATGTAATGTTCTTGTCCATATAATATTCCATCAACCACTTGCAGTTTCTAAGGGTGCACTGATGTGCGTTAGTATGCTCGGCGATGCCTTTCTAGCTCTATACGGGTTCTTTCGCCACTCCTGTGCTTCCTTTGTAAACTAGATTAACTTGACTTGTATATTTCCTATTTGCCGCTGTACACTGTATATACACGACTTATGCACAAAATAAACATATTGAATCTTGAATCTTGAATCTATACTCACTTATCACTTAATCTTGTCCTCGCACTGACGCTGTGACTGTCGCTAGCTGAGCTCTGCTTGTTGCTAAGACACTCCAATGGAACATCGCTGAGGCTCATTCTGTCGCTCAGGTTGCGTCTGTCACTCAGGTTCCGTCTATCGCTCAGGCTCTGTCTATCACTCGCACTCCTGCTATCATTCAGGCTCTGTCTATCGCTCAGACTCCGTCTGTCGCCGAGGTTGCGTCGTTCGGCTAGCAGGTACTGCTCGCGGTCGCTCAGATTCTCGGTGGACACCGACATGTTGACCTCGATACGCGACCTTGACCCGAGAATCGTGCGACGTCCGTGCGCACGCGGCCCGTACCGCTAGCCTCGCCAGCTGCCGTCGCACGAGCGGGCCTCGCCGGAGCAGATGTCGGCTGACATATGCCCCGATAAAAGCACGAGCACCTTCCCCGGCGACGTACACAAGCAGCGGGAAGTGTCTCTGTGCGTGTGTGCGCGTGTATGTGCGTGATAGATCAATACCTCTGCTGAGTCGGCGCGCCTACCATGAAGACAGAACAGTTTTAGTTACCGCGCTCTCGTATCCGCGCAAGCATCTATCCATACGTCATTCGATTTCAATTACGATGAGTTTGCACATCGTATACACTGTCACTATGCATGCACTTGCTGACATAATACGCATAGGTGCAGCGAAGGGCTCCTACACATCTACCGCACACTGGAAAGCTATCTATATAAAACGATTGCACAGAGTCGCCGCCGATAAAAACAAATCACCCTCGAGCCGGTCACTTAAAACCGCGTCGTTGCTGCGTGCATCGTGCTGACTGACAGACGAACACGGCAGCAGTAAAACCCGATCCCCAGACACACAGCCGGCGACCCTTCTCGTCATCTGCCACCGTACCTAGCGCCAGGGAGTCTATAATAGCCCCTGCTAGCGCGCACCGCGCAAACGACGCACGGTGCCGGTCTATAAACATCCAGGGGTATCTGAGCGATGAGTCATCGACGAGGTGTATGCACTGTGACCTATTCGACACGTCTGCCATTCAGATAACACTAACAGCGGCGAACCGCAAGCCTGCCCGTACTATCTTCTGGGGAATTTTATCTTTGCGCTTGATAGAAAATAGAAATGCGTAAAATACCTCACTCGCCCTTGCGAGCATATTAGAGCCTGTTCATGGTTTCGGATAGGGTAGAACATCTCATGGTTTCGTATTAAAAGCGTGAAGTATTACTCAACGTGACGTTGCAGACGCACACGTCTCCGTGAGAGCAGGCGCCTGAGTGCAACCAATGACGTTTACAAAACTGCTTTGCCAGTGACGAGCGATACTCTAGGAGCCAGGAATACGGAATGCAGTAATAAATGGGCTATGTACATTGATATATTTGTTATTATTATAACCTCTGATATTAATACGTGAAGGTTCGTACATGCACAGCAGGCCCTCAGGTCCAGCTTTATATTGGGGGGTTCGTTTTTCAAATGTTGGCAATTTGCTCGCAGAGGCGGTACAGGTTTTGTACCAGGGGGTGGGGTCTAACCGTAAGAGGCCAAAGTTGCGAGGCAACGCGAAGGGGTGGTCTGGGTTTACAAATTATTTTTAAAATTATTTTTAAAATTAGAACCCCCTCAAGATGCGCTTTTCCTGCGCCAGCAAAGGGGCCGACTCCCTGACCCCCCTGTAACACGCCCCTTGCGCGGGCGCAAGCGACCAGGCGAGGAGCCAAGCGCCCGAGCGGGGGGAGGGTGTTCTGGGGGGGGGGTGTTCACTGTTCACCCTCCCGCACGATGGAGATTTTGCAATTATTACACTAAAATGGAGCGACCTGAGGTGATTCTTGCAAATTTTCAAAAATTATTATTTTTTGCTTGGGGGGGTTCGTTCGAACCCCCCGGACCCCCCCTGGCTACGAGCCTGCACATGAACTGCATTCGTATTTGCTTACACGCATTCAATCCACCTCACTAGTATAAGGTTTCATCCTACTTTCACACACGGTTGCTTTTCTATGGATCCATAATATAAGGATATCAATAAGGCTAATTATCAATTTCTATAGGTATAATTATCTCTTCATAGCCTCAATGCGAGGATGGTGAAAATACGTCGTTATTTAGTATAATTAATTTTCTGATATAGATGTCTGATGTTACATCATGTTTACATAAGACTAAATACTAATGAATCATGAATAAACATCAATTATTAAATAATTTTCAGCTGATCAGCTTCTAATCAGGTACAACACTTCTGTATGCAGATCATACCTATACTACATTAGCTGCTGACTATAGTGAGCAATGTTTTCATTTGGTTGGCAGTCTATAGCTGAGTTCAGCCAATACGACTGACTATATGTATATATACAGTAACTACTGGGTACAACTGCTTACAATCTGTAACAGACCTAGTTCATCACGGGCTACTCAGACATATATGCATCATTCTATGTGTTTTAAAGTTGTTGTTTAATTAATATAAACTGAGCTGTATGTCCACTCAATTGAGTTGGCTCTCATGACAACTCGATCTGTTGTCACATACCGCTTCCAAAAATGTATCTTAGTTGTGTGCTTGGTTGTATAAATAATATTTTACTTCTAGCTGAATCAATTTTTTAAATGACACATTTTCTTAAACTGTAAGATTTAGTAACAAATGCATGGTCTTGTACAATTTTTCAAGTAAACATATGCAAACAAACACATTGTTGTACAAATTAGATCAAGAGCTAATAATACCTAATAAGGTATTATTAGCACTTGATTAGATGTAATTAACACTTTAACAGCGTAAATTCATCACTTAGTCTAGTCACCTTTAAGTCAATATATGTGCATAATATTGTAAGCATGTTGGTTATTAACATATTGCATCTTAGTTCATGTATGCAATCTACCAAATGAACCACCAACATCTACAACAGACAGACCCTTCATTATACATTTACTAAACCCTGGATCCCCTTACAGATTTTCTAAATCCACCCCTGTAAGCTCCCTCGTGAATCTTAGTCAATAGACTCAATACACACCTACCATTGCAACCATGCATTCACATGATTCGCATCCATCCATGAGGGCTGGGATAATAATTCATTTTATAACATTGATCTCAGTTGGTTTTATATGCAGGGGTAGAAATTATAGTTTGAAAATTTACAGGCCAGCCGGGCCTGTAGGTAATGGATTTTACAGGCCCGCCAGGCAAATTACAGGCCCGCATCATTCCCCGCGGATACCGCAGCATTTAAAAAAAATAAAAGACTGAAATTTGAATTGTTTTATTTACAGTAATACAAAGAACATATTCAGTGACTACTAATGAGCAGAATTCTCAGTCCTCCCTGGTGTCCTCACTCTCTGGACTCTTTTTAACTGTTAGCCGGGCTGCATGATTTCGATGTAAATGTGGCAGGAAATGAGTTAATTGGACCCCCTCATTAGTGCAGATGACCACTGGTAATGATTAGAATTGCCATGCTTCAAAGCAGAGATTACACGCAGAACCCAGGTCACTGTTGTGCACAACTTGACACAAGTGAGTGATACTGCGGTAACTTTTCATCCTCGCTGGCATGCCGGGGACGGTTTTGCATGCTGGGGGTGGATTTTCTATGGGCCCGTCGGGCCTGCTAGTATTAGAAACGTCAGGCCCGAGCCATAAAATACAGGCATCGGGCCTGCAGGCCCCTTATGATTTCGACCCCTGATATGCCTCTGAATGTTCTGGGACTTTAAACTTGAAGCCAGCAATTTATTCACTCTGAGCCTGTATATAGTTAAATGGATAAAGATAGAAAAATACAGAAAACAGGAAAATAATTAACCAACTGATGGGATTCGATCCAAATTAAGACCTTTCAGCCGTGACGTCCACGCTGTACCCGTCCGGCTATTGAGGCTTATTGGGTTTATAGATTATGGATGTGCCATGAATATATGACAGCACTGTGACGTCATTGTCATTTGAGGCAGTTGAGGCACGTGATTTGTATCAACCAATGGGATTTGGGAGCTCGGTTCATGAACCGTGTAGGCACGTGAACCGAGGTGACACATGAGCCTAAAGGTGTCTGGTTGACTCGGTTCATCTGCCCACTCGGGTGGCCGGCGAACCGAGTGGGCAGATGAACCGAGTCAACCAGACACCTTTGGGAGGTACCGGGGTATGCATGCTGCATATGCCATAGCTGCGAGTCAAAACGAGTACCAGCATGAGGTAGGGGCCTATCATGTATAATAATATTAATATCTGGGGCTCAAGCTTAGTAAAAAAACTACTGCTCACAACTTGAACTAGACTGCTACAACATTCAACAAGTTTAAATACAATAGCTAGCCTAATGTAACCAAACAGAATACAATGCTGTTAACCCAGCTGGTTCAACCAAAATTAACCCAAATAAGGTTAGTCTAATAATAATAATAATAATGTAATGACATAATAATAATAATTATAATGATAATGACATAATAATGACATAATATTAATAATAATAACGCAGTGGCTACGGGTACGCCAGTCGTCGGTCGTTGAAGCCCTTTTTTGGCGTTAGGGTTAGGGTTAGGGTTAGGATTAGGGTTAGGGTTAGGTTTAGGGTTATGGTTATGGTTAGGGTTAGGTTTAGGGTTAGGGTTAGGGTTCTAGCTCATCTAAACTCTCAAATCGTGAATTTATTTCCCAAGGCGTTATTTCGAAATCTAGCGCCACCGCCGCCATCTTTGTCTCGTTAAGTATGAAAGCGAATGGACTGGCGTACCCGTAGCCTCTGCCTAATAGTAATAATAATAGTAATAATATTAATAATGACACGCGCCCAACCTACTCTGGGGTCTGGGTCTGTGAATGAATTATTCAGTGTATAGCGGGAGTACCGAAAGCTAAACGGCCCCAAATATAATACATATGATGCATTAATTTTTAGTGATGCTTGTATGAAAAAATAACATGCAATGAGTTACCTGGAGGCTGGAAGAGAGTAATGACAAGAACAAAAATTTGGTTTCTCTCTGCGCTACGATATGACCTATGACATGTGACGTCACATTCGAACTCTACTTGTATGAGGGCGCTTCGATAGAACAGTATGGCAGCCTCCACCGTAATGTTAGATATTAATACTGACATATTTGACCTCTATTTTGGCCCATGGGTTAAGTAAGTTAATATAGCATTGTTATTACTAGTAATATTAACATTGCTGATAATGTGAGCTATATTTGATTAGTTAAACCAACGATTATTATGTTTATATTTCCCGTTTTTAGGTAACCATAGCGTGGCCCGATCGATTGTCGGCGGAGTATGGCTGAAGTGTTCCTGAGGCTGAGCGACACAAATAACTTGGTACATGAAACAAATCATGCACTTGGAAGAAGACGAGTTTGAGTGCATTACAAGTTACAAGTTTAATGTCCAGTCTACCATTTCTTGACATGACTGCATGACAAGCTGCCTGTCACACGCACACTAAGTAACAATAGGTCTATTGACTGTGCAAGTCGTAATTACTAGTAGTGTATAGAGGAATGACCAAAGCTTTACCAAGATGTCGGTTCCAAGATTAACTAATTCCAGTTCACCTGCCTCGGTATTACCCAAGACTCCTGCCAAGACTGATAGCAAGTTGGAGTTCTTCTGTGGGTCATGTGCAGCTGTGATCAACATCTGTTGCACTTTCCCCCTAAACAAGATAATGTTTAGACAGCAACTTTTAGGCTTGACTACAACACAGGCTGTGCGTCAACTTAAGCAGGAGGGCTTGTTCAACCTGTACAGGGGCGTGGTGCCTATTCTTTGCCAACGCACAGTCACAATGAGCATTATGTTTGGGATGTACGACAAGTACAAGAAAATACTAAAACAGAGCTATCCGTCCATGCCTGTTTATGTATATCGACCCATCGCTGCAATGCTTGCTGGTTCAACAGAAGCCATGCTCACTCCTCTAGAACGCGTGCAAAGTTTGTTGCAAGACCGACGCTACGATCGAAGGTTTCATGGCACTGTGCATGCATTTAGAGAGCTTAAAGGTTATAGCATGCGTGAATACTGGCGTGGTGTCATGCCAATTCTAATCAGAAATGGTCCTAGCAATGTCGTTTTTTTCGGTCTAAGGCAACCATTTAAAGACATGATGCCAGTCGTAGATACTATACGCAATCCAATGCTTTACTACTTGGAACATTTTTTGAGTGGTGCAATACTGGGAGCGAGCATCAGCACGATATTCTATCCAGTGAACGTCATCAAAACGAAAATGCAATCAAGATTAGGAGGAAAGTTCTTGACTTGTCGCGAAGCATTCTTCCTTGTTTTCAATGAGAGAGGGCGAAGTTGGCGTAATATGTTTCGTGGTGTCAATATGAACTTCACGCGGTCACTGGTGTCATGGGGAATTGTAAACGCATCCTATGAAGCCCTAAGGAAGCTAGTCTATGGCCGCAGCGGAGAAGAGCTCACATCGTAGACGCACTTCATCTGCTTGCCATGTCAAGTCAACGACTCAGGAATTGATAATTTACCTGAAGTACTAGCAGAAGCATTGGCATACGCTTTCAAATTATAGTGATGTAACGTATAATGCACTACATGCACATATGTGATAGGTGTCAAATGAGAGTAATTTAACAGAATATTATAGCATTGTATGTGCGTAGGTATTTTGCATGTGCCCGTTAAAACGTAAACACGAACGTTAAGCATGCAACGTGTGCCACATTTAATTGCTATTGTTGTTCAATCGCCACACGCGTTAAGAGTCTGTACCACATTAAACTCGGAATACTGTCCAGTTTATGTTTGCAGGGAATCACATTATACCAGCAGCATTTACCTTCATTTAAAACAGCATTCCGAGAATTGCTGGTGTGAGCTAGGAATAGATCGATGCATCGAATTAGTACGTCAGGTTTTAAGTCAAGTCCTTGTATAGAGCTATTAGAGCCAATTACATGTTCAGGTAAAAGGTGCAAAACCAAGCTGTATCAGTATTTAGCATATGCTAAAAACACGTTATAGTGTACTCTATTTACGTGACCTCACTTAACTGACGTGACGTCTAGTAAGAATAGGTTCGGAAATGAGGTAGAGATATCTTTTTTACATGTCTATGTATGCAAATAAAGCTACCACTCTTTCCAGCTAATCACGCTTCTGTGCTTGTTGTTATTAACCGACTAGATCCTCTTAAACTGCATGTATGTTGCCAACCTGTTGTGGCGAAATTTGTCATCCGCCTTTTACCCTACGAGCTTGCCAAGACGACATTGACAGAAGCGTAGTGTGTGCGTGCATTTTTTTACATGATTCTTGTTTGGGATCAAATGTTCCTAGCATTTTAAGACATTTAACATAATCAAGGCCACACTCTTTTTTGGTCCAGCCAAAATTTTGCCACAAGTTTTAGGCCCTGTTAGACATTACTCTCAGTATATATTTATGTAACTTGAGCCATTCAACTGAACACATTTAGTTTACCCCACATATTAAAACTAGACAGAGGGCACTCACGGAGAGTGCATACCTCCGCCAGCATGTAACATGTATGTGTATAACAGCTGGCTCGCTGCTGGCTTCTGCTGACAGGACGCCCTAAGGCGAGCTGCGGCTGACTCGACGCCCTAAGGCAAGCTGCTGCTGACTGGACGCCCTAAGGTGAGCTGCTGCTGACTCGATGCCCTAAGGCAAGCTGCTGCAGAATCGATCGCGCGAACACTAGTGGCTACACACACACACGAACACACACACGAACACACACACACGAACACACACACGAACACACACACACGAACACACACACGAGACCGATTACATTACCTCCCTGGCGGAGGTAAAAATGGAACTGCATATAACATCAGGAGTTAATAATGACAAACAATGAAAAAATTAGTCATTATTAACTCCTGATAACATGTATAAGCAAATTATTTAATAGCAAGATGAGTGAAATATAAAATAATCTGATTTTGTTATGTAAGTGGGCAGTATCGATGTTGTACATATTTAAAGTTCTATTTAAACAAGTGCCGCGGAGCGACAGCGCTCATCTAATGTCTGCTGCGGTGAATCTGTGGTGGAGTGGTGGGATTCTAGTAAACCCTGTTAGTCCCAAATGTGTTCACATACGCGCCGAAACGGTGGATGGTATCAGGAACCTTCTCGAAGGAATGTTCGTTGGGATCGTTATGAAAGTTGCCACGAGATGGTGCGTACGTTTAAGTGTCTTAAGATTAAAGATGAAAGCTCCCATCGTACGTAGTAGCAACAACTATTTGCAAGACAGAATAGGTAAGCACTCATCCATTTACCTACGCAAGCCTACAGGCTTAAATAGAGAGCTGCCACCTGTAACTAATTAATGCAGGCAAAATCTACACAGTACTATCACCACCACTTGCACTGGCAGTGGAATAAGTTACATGTAACACAACGACAGTACAGAATGCTATAGAAATTATACGATTTAAGGAGCATAAACCTTCTTCAACCAAATTTAGCTTTTGAAATTTCACTGTGACATTGTAGCCTCATACATCGAGGCATGTATAGATTCTACTAGCAAACCCGGCAGAGTCAATTCTTTCTAACAGTAAACAAATCCAATTTTAACCCTCCTCTTGAGGGCTTAAAACGGTTCAGACACTACTGCTCGCATCGTCAGCGGAAAGTACATTTCATGGTCGCTTTCAATAACCATAAAATGGTAGGTCACCCGCCTGAAACAAACAGTTTTTCAATGCGTCCGTCAGACCATGTCCTCAGAAAATGTCTAAAATTCGCCCTGTGCCCCATTGAGCTGTGACCTCCATTTCGGAGCAGTGATGGCTTTCCTACCATGATGCTATACACGACTAACACGAGCTCTAGGTCGAGCCGTTTAGATGTTGTGCCCGCAATGTCTGCATTTCTGCCGATACCTTTAAGCTTAAGCCGAGGAACTGTTCCCTTTCTTTTAACACTCTTGACCTTTAGCTTTGCGACCCCCAGCTTCAACATTCCAACTCCGGTTTTCGGCATTACCCCCCCCCCCACCGTCCCGAATATCGTGACCGTACGTCGAGCCGTTTAGATGTTGTTGCCCAACTGATTGCACGTAAAGGTTACCCACGACGATCATGCGATTCTACAAGCTGCATCTGACTATGTCAGATGAGCTAAAAAGCATTAAGCTTTTTTAACACTGGTTTTAAAATTATTAGTATTAAATACACTTTCTACAAATTAATTGCCTTTTCTTTTTTTTGCAAAACACTGCAATGAGATTGCTAGCACAGGGTTTGTAAACGAAACACAGGTTCTTTTAGGATCAAGGTGTAAAAAAGCAATCAACATAGATACGTACCATCCTATACAACTTTATTCTCACTTCGTGTGATAACAAATAACTAAACAAGTTGTAATTCCAGATTAAAAACACATTGCAGGATTTAACCTCATGATCTGTCAGATCTTGACTGCCGAGTTTCAGCGTTACTTAGCCTGCTCTGGAAGGAAGCTCAGCATGCTGGACAAATAGCAGCACGAGCATTCCTATCTTACACTGTCTCTCAATCTCTGTCGGGAAAATTATTATCTACACTTGCTGAAGGGTCTTGCTTGCGATGGAGTGCTTTAAAACGTGCATAGCAGAAACTTCGCAGGCTCTCTAATGCTAGAGGCCTGCTGAAATATTCCCCAGTAAAAATAAATAAATGCATACATTACAAATTTTGCTAGCACTAAAAATCTTTTTCATGAGTTTCGATGAGAAACAATCTTATTTACCATATTTCGTGGTTCATAGGATGCTTTGATGCATTAGATGCACCCCAAATATAGCAGGTAATAATCCAGACAAAAAGAACAAGATACCCCTCTCCTTTACCACGTACATGCTCACCATAAATAAGGCCACATCCTTTTTTTCTGTTGTTACAACTAAAATTTCCTGTATTTCATACACCTTCTTACCTATCAACATTGTTTAGTATATATTATACTGTAGGCTATTCTGCTACGGAGTATATTAACAAGAGGACATTACCTATATAGTTTATATGCTCTTGATCATATAATATACCGCAGCTAAAAAACCTTAGTTTAGGATAGCAGCAAAACTTTTCAAACCTCATCCAAATTTATGCAACATTATTTGGAGACTACCTTTTTACATACCATTTACATGTACACACACAATAGTGTTAAACTGTTAACCACATTATTTTAGCTTAACATAATTTGTTTACGCTACACTGAACTTCAGCTAATAGGAAACAAGGAGGATTTTTGAGACAGTTTCTGAGAAAAAAGCACCTTAAAAGCATGCGAAATAGGGTAAATAATTTGAAAACTGAATAGATTATTTACTACTTTGCTCATTATCTGGGGATATTAGTACAGCCGTTTTAGCTACTAGTATGAGAGCACTCCAATGATATACGAAACCATACTTCAGCTATAGATCATTGCAAAAATTTGACAAGTAATTACATGGTTATAGACAGCAATACAACAACGTCAGAACATACGTACAGACTGAATGACACATAGTGCATTCGAGACCTTGATATCACACATATCGACTACAGCAGACAGAGTTTCATGCATACATAAATTACGCACGAAACTAGTATTGGTTGGATTTAGAATTGGAATTAGCTAAAGTGCTTGTTATTCATAATGAGTTGTGATTTTGGAAAGTAGAGCATCGCAAGTTTTCTTAGCATCGCCAAGCAGCATGTTTGTGTTCTCCTTGTAGAAAATTGGATTATCTACTGCGGCATAGCCCACACCTAAACTTCTCTTCATCACAATTACCTAGAAAAAGACAAGAAGCCATGCAAGAAGCGTGTTAGGGCATGCAAGAAGCGTGTTAGAGCATGCTGGAAGGGAATCAAGCTGCCAGGGCATGACATGGACGTACATTTACCAAGCCAAGCAACCAAAAATAAACGCACACACACGCACAATAACCAGGTGACGAGAACCGATTTCTTAAGTGGAGTGGTGCCAAATTGTAGTAATGTTCGGTGACGAAAAAAACCTTTAAAACCAGTCGGTTTTCTTAAAGTGATTTTCATCACTAAACAATATCAATGGTCGAAACGGTTTCTTGTAGAACAAGATCGCACAATCCCATCAGCCGCCTAGTGCATGTGCTGTGGTAGCAAGTATTGCGCACGCATGCAGTATGTGGAAGCAATGCACCATCTTCAACATCCATGGAAATTGCATCTACCAGTCTACTGGATGGATTGCATCAGATTCACTCACTAGGGGGAGGGAAGCTGAAAATAACCTAGCAGTACTAGTGTACTGTGTGAGACTTCACATTCGTAACACGCTTAATGCCCTGAGTAGTGATCCTGGCATTTGCTCAGTAGAGCATCACAAGTTTTCTTAGCATCGCCGAGCAGCATGTTCGTGTTCTCCTTGTAGAAAATTGGATTATCTACTGCGGCATAGCCCACACCTAAACTTCTCTTCATCACAATCACCTAAAATAAAGTAAATAGTAAGCAACGTTAGAATGGGCAAGTAAGATATGTAAAGATATTAATCACTGATCATGAATTATCCGTCAACGCATGGTCACGCGACAATGATAATAATAAATTACTGGTACGGGAGCATTGTCTTCCAGAGATGTCTAGATAAGGTACCCAGGAGCTGTTAGGGACCTAACCCATAGATTAAGTGCAATGCCTTAATAGCATGCACTTCTTAAAGCAATTCCAGCATTCTCCATCTGTTGTTTCAACCACACCATTTCTCTGCGGCGCCAGACTAATGATAAAATACACCCAATTTTGACATATAGCGCAAGTTGAGGAATGTGTAGGGGCGACTGGTTTGGGAGGGTGCAAACAAAAGTATTAACCAATACGCTCCTCTGCAGAGCTTGAAATGTTATTAAATGAACAGCTGATTATAGTAACTCAAGCCAATGTGCATTGACTGTTAAATGCGTTACTGCGAATTAGTAACTCGATAGCACTCGGCTATTGTGCAGCCCCCTCCATATCTCTTCCCTCAGTTTGAGATCTAAAGAACACTGAGAAGAGTACATCAGGAAATATTACAGTGCGAGGTTCTCCACCACGCCGAGTAGAACTAATAGCATTTATTATTTTGCGAAGAAGACCAAAGTCGTTCGTTCGTTGGTTCGATATACAGTCAGACACACAATAGTGTCGACCTTATTCCTGAGATTGCTGCCAGTCGTTCAATCGCCCACGCCACCGGACACACGTCACCCGTGACCAACCCTACGGAAAACCGAAATGCGTGAGCTTACGTTGGCGGAGTTCCACACCCGCAGGACGGGCATGCCAGCGATGATGGAGTTAGGGTCGTCCTCGGCGGCCGAGTTCACCGTGTCGTTGGCGCCGATGACCAGCGTCAGGTCGGTGTCGGGGAAGTCTTCATTGATCTCGTCCATCTCGAGGACGAGGTCGTACGGCACGCCGGCCTCAGCCAGCAGCACGTTCAGCTGTCCGGGCATGCGACCTGCAACACGCCACCATCGTCTCGCTTCACTCGCATCACGAGGCCAACATTACGGGGCGCACACAGGGCACAGCTATGCACGTACGCCCACGCACGCACACACTCACACTCGTATCTTTATCCAGACTGATTCTGCATAGTGCGTGTTACTCAGAAGTAAAATTTTAGAGGCACCGCACATCTCTGAATTGTCAACAAGCACATAGTTTTGAGGTACAGTTAATATCTTTAAGTATCTCAGTGCAAACAGCTTTGCTAGTAGCAAGAACAGATAATGACTACGTGTCACAAAACCATTACCTGCTACGGGGTGGATGCCGAATCGCACGTTCTTTCCCTTTTTCCTCAGCAGGTCTATCATCTCAGCAATAGGGTACTGTGCCTTGGCTACGCACAGGCCGTAGCTAAAAAGACACCATATTTGTAATTTAGGTGGCAGTAACAGCTAGTAGAATATTTGTAGCCTTGTTAGGAAATTCCAGCCCCCCCCCCCACAACTCTAATCAGTATTTGTATATATACACTATGTTTTAGTAAATTTGTTGTGCCCCAACGTGTTATAACTATTTTTAGCCAGTTATCATTCCATTTTTACCTTCACCCACCCGACCCTACAGGCCCTGACATACCTCACCCAATCAGACCCTGATGTACCCTACCCTGCCATACCCTGACGTGCTCTAAACTACCATACCCTGACGTACCCTACCCTACCATACCCTGACGTACCCTACCCTACCAGACCCTGACGTACCCTACCCTACCAGACGCTGACGTACCCTAACCTACCATACCCTGACGTACCCTACCCTACCAGACCCTGACGTACCCTACCCTACCAGACCCTGACGTAC